TTTATTTATTATAATTAAATATTAATTAATTATATGTAAAAATTTATGTTCTGATATTAATTAATGAGAAATTGGAATCCCATGGAGAATGAGAATAAGGATAAAATCTACCTCTTATTAAAAATTTTTACAAAAATCTCCACCCTTACCATTTGCGAACGAGAAGAAGAAAAGACTCCCTAACTTTACAAAACCCCGTTGACATCCTATTCCAGAGTTTACTGGTAATGCGAGATGCCTCATATATATCTACCTCCCTAATCTAAGTCAATTGGGATTTCAGTTCTTACAGCGGCCCTTTAACCCTGGGTAGATGATGGCCTGCGTCACATGTGTAGTAGGATATTTCTTGGAAGCCGTCAGTGTCAGTACTTGAGTTATCTCATATGGCCTTTTGGCGGGTTTGTCTGAAAGACTGAAACTGTAAAGCCATGACTGGCTGGTTCTACTGTTCCCTCCACTTCACGTGACTAGTGCAGTTCTCAAGGAAACTTCCACTTGTTGCTTGCTGGGTCCCTTCCCGTCCGATATTTAGTTTTGGACCCAATCGGTCTATATACATTTTTGGGCCACATTGCCATATTCCATAACCACTCGGGGCATGTTCTGTGGGCTTAATAGTTGCCGACATAGATAACCTGAGGTTCTTCTAATTCTAAAGTGGAATACCCTAATCTTCAAAGTTCAAACAGGGATGATTGATTAATTAATTAATATTCCTCATGTTGCTAATTAATATGATATAAATAATATTTGATAAGCAAACAGTCGTTGATAATAATTTTTATATTTATGGGTATATATACATATCATGAGCAATTAATTATGGCATGTATAACTTATTGCCACATTTGCACCTCCATGCTTCGGGATAATACTCTGCCGTCACGGGCGTTCCGGGCGGCACTGGCACATGCACCGGCTTGCACGGCGTACACTTGTCGCACTTGGATGTGCACCGCGGCGGTGAAGATCCCGGTCCCCCTAAAGATCTCCTCGCAAAAGTAGTCCCCACGAAATTCTCTTCATCTTTTATCTTTTGGTCATGATCGATTTCCTGTACGTAGTTGAGAAACAAGCCAGACCAATTCAGCAGACGGTACAGAGAAAAAAATTAGACTTATTACACGTACGCACGTACGTCTCCTATATACTACGCACCGTACTGTGTGCCTCGAGAGGGAATACAACCTATATAGAGCTAGCTAGTCCCTATCTGTTTGGGCATGATTTGCAGAGGATTGTGACGGGACGAAATAAAAAAAAAAAAGAGAGAGAAATAATCTATCTGAATCCTAGTGTGGTCCAGGCTAGCTAAGTAACGCAGTTAACGTGTGTGTTTAAGCTAAAGAGTAAATTAATGATACAAATGATTTTTTTTTTTTCTTTTACTTTACGTTGGGATTATATATGAACCAGGGTGGGAGCAGTTTCCTAACCAGCTGATTGCGGTTCTATGCGTCTTCCATCACACACATGTATGATTTATATATGTACGAGGGTGCAGGGTGCAGCTTTTTGGCACATTGTATGTCTGATCAGAAAGATAAAATTAACTATTTACATATGGTATAATAATAATAAATGATTTCTGCACTCTATCTTACTTTAGTTAGTTTAATTTGATTGTACCTGAATGTTTTATAGCATGTAAGTGGTAATTAAAATTTTTTATTAAATAAATTTAACAAGATTAATGTATAGGAAAAATATTAAAAATCATCATTTATATATTAAAGTATTGCTTAAACACAATGTCAAACTAAGATAATAAAAATAAAAATAAAAATAAAAAAGAAAGAAAGAAAGAGAGAGGGAGTATCTACTTTGTATTAATTATTTTTGGGGGTAATCAAAATTAGTGAACATTAGTTTTATGAATTATTTAATTAATGCAAGAAACTAAGAGCTGTAAGATGTTTAACTCACCTGCTGAGCTCTATTAGACCATGAACGCCTGGCATCTGCATCTCACAAAAGAAATTATGTATGATAATAATAATTAAGAGGATTGATTAATGATAATGGTAAAAATATATATATATATGTACTATCATATATGTTTGATTAGCAGATCCAGAATTAATTAGACAGATATGATGGAGGACGGTGGCTTGCCTAGTTCATGAGATGTGGCTGCAGGGCTGAACACATCGGTGCCTGAGAAGAAGAAGAAGAAGAAGAAGAAGGAGGAGAAACAGTAAATAAGATAGACTACTGGCAATTTCTTGATGAACCTTGGCAATGTCTTCCTCTCCATATGGACTTGAAAATTAAGAAGGGAAATTACCCTTTTCCACAAACACTACAAGCACCGCGTGCCACTGTAAGTCTAAGATTGGAATGTGAGGGAAGCAAATTAATTAGCGGTAGAGATACAGAGTGGGAGAAGTGGGTGCGCATGGGTAAGTGGAGAGAGAGAGAGAGAGATGGTGAATCTGAATGCTAGTATATTGGTAAGCACATATAATAAGGTGGCTTCCTAAGCTTTACCATGTTTGGATGTTGGATTCTCTTGCAGGCTTTCTTCACTTGCGTGCCCCTTCGACGATTCCCAACTCACAAATATTATTCACTTCTTCTCTACTCTGCTCCTCCACTTCCACCGAACCCCACAAGCACTAACTACACTTACTTTGTCCCTGCTTAATTTCTTCACTACATTTGCAGACTTCCCTTTTATATACTTACTTAGAGCATAAGTCTCACCTACATAACTTATACAAAATATTAACCACTCCTATAATTAACATTTATTTATTTTTTAAAAAATAATTATTTTTTAATTTAAAATTTTATAATAAATTTTAACTATTTATAGTAAATATATGAATAATCAAAATTTTTTACATAAGTTATATGTGTAAAAATTATATATAAATAAATTTTAACTCATATATATATATCAGACAATGATTGATATATATTTCGGTTTAATACACTGTATAATACACTTTAATTCAACCATTAAAATTTACTTTTGAAATTTTTTTATCATAAATTCAAATTTCAAAATAATAATTTTGTAATGAATATGTTATGAAATGTGTTAAATTGGATGGTGTACCAATTATTTTTTTATATATTATATATATTTCTTACTTTATTTCGTCCCTCTTCTGATTCCAATATCAATTAATACAAATAATTGGTACTATATATAATTATTCACATCGACCGTTTCGGAACACTAATGTCATGGCATGCAATAATTAGTGTGTATATATAGACCACAAATTAATTAGTTAATTTGTGCTTGCATATATATAGATGTAATTCCTGTTGCGCAGCCAGATCATACACAGTCTTAGACTCATTGATTAGAAATTTAGAATTATAGAGAATATACATGTAAATATAGTTAATTAATTAATTTGAAACCAACCATATATGCATATTAATTAATGAGTTTTTACACACAAATTAATGGTACACTTATTATATTTTTTAAAATAATTTATATAAAAAAAATAAATATTAACTTTAATTTCATTAATTGATCAATTAAAACTATCTATATAACAATAATATTAAAATAAATATTAATTTTTGTAATTTTTATGTAAATTAACAATAAAAATATATTTACTATATTTTTAATTCTCATCCTAAAAATATAAATTAAACAAACCCTTAATTAATTGATTAGTCAATCTCAGGCGTATCTAATTAATTGCTACCATTAAGAAGATGCACTATTCTGGAATTAATGTAGATTCCAAAGGCAAGGAGGTATGGACAAAGCATACAAACAAAAAGTGGCAGGAAAAGGCCAGTGTTTTTTTTTTTTTGTTTTTGGTGGAAAGAAAAAGGCAAGTGTTTGGCAACAGGTTTTAAGCTAACCTACACTCCCATTCACGTGGTGCATTCCAAACGTGACTTTGAGAATATTCTAAACTATGCCCTACACACCCTTTTTTTTTTTGTTTTTTTTTATGCTTATGCACTACACACTTTTCAAACTTCCAACGACACTTTCAGTATGTCTTTTGTCTGCTGCCGTTTCTTGGCTAAAATTCCCAAAACCAGTCAAATTCTAACCCATCTCATTTTCACCCCCTCACTTGATATTTTTCTTCCCGATGAGCTCTAATGCCAGACCTTCGACTTGGGATGAAGAGCTAGTAATGTAGAGATACATGTTGATGTGATAGAAGGGGGAAAAAAATGCATGTTATTGTTACTATGCTATTGTACCTACCTACATATGGTTGTCATGTGAGGCCTCAAGACAAATGCTACTGCATTTGTTTTCACAGCAAAATAAAACAAACAAACTTGTGCCCCCACACCGTCCTTGACTCTTCAACGATAACTGGCCGGCATGATTTAAATTAAATAAAAAAAAAAAAAGAGCTAATTGGCTTTAAAAACCATTTATAATTATGTAAAATTATAAATTTATAATATAATATATTATTATAAAATTAATATTTTTTTTATAAATTTAATTGTAATAATATTATATTTATTTAATATCATATAAATCTAATATTATTTAATACCGAATGATTTAAGCCCAAAAATTGATCGTTACCCTACGTTGTGGCTTAAGGTTTGACACTAGACGGTGACGTGGGAATTGCGAGGCCGACATATCACATAAATGTGCTACCCACTTCTTCAATTATTTACATTTAACAAAGCTGACACTATCTAAAAATAATAAGAAATAAATAAAAAGGCTGAGCTGCTGCTACTTCTTCCGTTGTCCCAATACCTGACAGATAGAGGCATGCGATTAGTGTTCCTAATTTCTTTTCTATATATCATACAAGCTTTTGAATTTATATATTTTGATTCCCAGGCACTGCTTTGCTCTTTACAAAATTAAAAGGTTTGTAAATGTGACAATTAAAAATAATTGGGTTTTTCTAATTTATACTTTAAATATATTGATTAAAATTTATTAATTAAAATATTTTAAATTAATTTTGTATAAATTTTTATATTAAATTAATATATATTTTTATAAATTTTAAGTAAAAATGTTATATTATTTTATATTATTTAAATTTTGTATGAAATTTACGTATATTTAATTATAAATAATAAAATTAATGAAATTTAAATTATATTTCAAAACACAAGTTAGAAAATCTAAAAAATGACTTGATATGATGAATTGAAATAGTAAGGGTTTTTCAATTTGTAGTTAGCTAAACGGAGCGGTACAAATATGGTTTTGGGTAATTGTGGGTGCCTCTTTCTCAGCAACTTTGGTTTTATCAAATTCAAACAAACAAGATCGGCAATGGCTAAAAAGAAAAATAAAAACGCGGTCTTTTGTGGTGGACAGAGATTTTTGTGCTGGTTGCAACCAATGAACAAAAAGTTGAGTTGATGATCATTCCTGGTTCAGAATTATGGAGACACTGTTGAAATCTCGGGTTTATCTTTCCAACAAACAGGCCCTGTTCTGAACATGTTAATACTTGGCTGGTCTTAATGCGTGCAGAATAGTGGAGGACGGTGGGAATGAAGTGAACTGAACCCACAAGAGTTATGATTCTGCTGCTCTTTCCCTGCGGCAAAACTCATCTCATTTGCTTCCTCAATTGTAAGAATAGATAATTACTCCAATGATGCACAATGAGTGTTTTCACCGTAGAGAAAATAAAAAAGGTAGAAGAAGATGAAATGGGGACGGCTTGATGTATTCTCGATCAAGTTTCATCAATGAAAATTGGCCCCATACACAAATACTGACATAGCTTACGGTTTTTAAACTTGATCGATAGCACCATAACCAAATTATGCCAAAATGTTGGTTCTTTTATGGCTCTTCTACTGTTCTGTACTGCTTCTTCATACCCATAATTGATTTTTTATCATTTAAGAATCCTCTATCTGCTTCTTTCTCACGTAGACCTGTCATCTCAATCCCTTACTAGAGAAAAGCTGGTTATTACAGATGTAGTTTGTTAAACCAATAGAGAAATTAATGGTGAGGCTGATGATGATTTTAACTGCTTGTAGGAGTAGTAGTAGTACTAAAAAGGGCAAACCAACATTTAGTTCCTTACCTTACAAAATTGGTAGGTTTTAATCCCTCATCTTATATTATGACATTTTTAGCCCTTAACCTATACGAATTGAAGAGAATAACTCCCACCTAATATTAGATTATAACATTCTGTTGTTTCTGTTAACTAATTGTTAGCATCTATTAGCATTTCGTTAATGAAACTAACAAATAAATTTCATATTTTCTATAATGAAATGCTAACGGATACTAATAGTCAGCTAATAAAACTGACAGTGAACTAACAGAACTAACAGAACATTATAATCTGATGTTAAGTGAGAGTTATTTTTTTCAATTCGTATAAATAAGGGGTTAAATGTGTCATAATATAAGATGATAGGTTAAAACTTATCAATTTTGTAAGGTAAATGGTTAAAAGTGTCATATTATAAAGTTAATGTTAAAACCAGTGACGAAGGGAGGGGTGCGTCCCCTTGAAATTTAAAAACTTTTATAAATTAGTATATGAAAAATTATCTCGTTTTCCTAAAATTTAAAAATTTTATAAATTAGTATATAAAAAATTATCTTGTCCCCCCTAAAAAAAAATTTTAACTCTACTCTTAGTTAAAATCTATTAATTTTATAAGGTAATGGGCTAAAAATTGGTTTTAGCCTATTAGAAACTACTAATATATTGAGGAGGATTGAACTTTTAAGGGTGGGTGGAGACATTAAAGGCCATGGAATATCATCATTTGTGGGGAACAAGCATCACTAATTTGTAGACACAATGAATGTTCCTGTGTTCCCAAAATCATCACTGTTACTGCTTTACCAATTTTTAGATTTTTTTAAAAACAAATTTTGGTGAAAAGGGGAATAGCATAGCATTAGATATAGATGAATAAAGGAGGAGGGCCGGGCCCAGATGATCGAGGCATAGCAGTAGCATACAAGCAGCAAAAATTAGCGAAAGCCTGAGGAAATTAATTAGTTTATCTTGCCTTTGCCTTGCATTCACAAAAAAGGAGCTCTCCCTTTCTTTCAGTTGTTTTGTGAAATTACCATGCAACGCAAAAGTAATTAAAATCCTGATTAAAAGTCATTTTATGTGTGGTAGTATATGGTATTAGCTAATTCCAATATGCTTGACTTTTTCTGGTGGAGGACCCCATCCTCTCCTCTATATCTCTAGCTATTGCTTCTCCAAAATCTTAAATTGTCATGTTTTAAATAGAGGGGAAATTAAACACAAACCAACCTTACCAGAAGCATGGGTAATCAAAGGTTCAGGTTCTCAGATATGATACCTAATGCCTGGTTTTACAAGCTCAAAAACATGGGTAGAACCAGAAACAATTACCCTAAGGCCTCTCCCTCTCATTCCAATCCCATCAACAAAAAACCATTATACCCTTCAACAGCACCCCAGAATTTCAACTACTTCACCAAAGACGCATATTTCCCTGATTCACCAATAATATCATCCAGAAGAAAAGCCAGAAGAAGAAGAACCATCTACAGGCCATCTCCTAAAGCCATACTAAATATTCTTTCTCCTTTTGATTCGGAATCGGAGGCGGATGATCACCACCACTTTGCTCCTGAATCATGTGATGATCATCAGGTATTAGGTTCATCAGACTCCAATTCTTGTTATAAGTGTAAGCTTACATCTTCTACTACTGATATCATCATTGACATGATGAATAACGAGTCATGTAGATATAGGAGGAAATTAACAAAGCCAGCAGAGTCTAGTAATTACAAGAACAAGGAAAAGCGAAGGAGGGTAAGGGAGGCTAAAGCACGCGGATCTCTTTCTTTCAAGATTGTGAAAGAAGAGAGCATTGGGACTCATGAGACAAGAAAGAGTACTACAGGAATAAAGGTCCGAGCAAATTCCTTAAGAATTGCAAGTAACAAGATTCACGCCGCGTATGCAAGAAAGAGCATATCATCTGGGAACATTGCAGAGAGTTTTGCAGTAGTTAAGTCGTCGGTTGATCCACAGAAAGACTTCAGGGATTCAATGGTGGAAATGATTGTGGAGAATAATATTCGGGCAGCAAAGGATTTGGAGCAACTTCTTGCATGTTATCTTTCACTCAATTCCAGGGAATACCATCATCTCATCATCAAGGCCTTTGAGCAAATCTGGTTTGACCTCACCAATTAATCTAACTACATGTATATAGTGCTTGTAAAATCTATTATATATCTTCAATGTATGTATATACTAGTGCAGTGCAGCTGATTATCGAATTTACATTTATTTGCGTTGTATGTTTTTTTTCTTTTTTTTTGGGTAAAAATATTTGCCTTGTATGTTGATATATTGGAGTAGATCAGTTGGGTAAAAAATCGGCTTCAAAAGTCAAAGGGTTTAATTTCCACCCAGTAGTTTAGTAGGCCAGTGTTGATGTTGAACAATAATGATGCATCTCATGTATAATTGTGTAAACAAAAAGGCTAGCATTCCACCACGCCATTAAGCATGAAT